CTTCTGGGCCTTCTGCTTCCACCTCCTGAGTGCTGACCTTGCCAGCCGCTTGTGTAACACTGGGACCCAAACCATCGGCTTCAGCACGGTGGGCAAACACTTGACCAGCTGAAGTACGCCCTGCCAACTGAGTTACATCCCTGCCAGGTGACTTCTGGTGGCCACGCTCATGCTGAACTGACTTTGATTACTTTTGCTGATGACGTTGTGAAGGCAGGAGGAAGTGTAACTATGGTCTTAGACTTCTGTGGTCAAACGCCAAGAAGCAGCGCACATAACCACCTGCTTGAGTTCTGATCCTGTCAGGAAAGTAAACTCAGGCACAGCGTGAGACAGAGCCGTGAGGCGGAGGCAGTGGAGCTTCTGGTGAGGAGGCTGCATGGCAGACGGATTTCTGCACAAGTGGAGAGGCTTTGGAGAACACCCCGAAGCTCTGTGACACGGCTCCTCCCTTCTCTAATGGTCTGGATTTGTAGAATATTCCTCCAGCTGGTGTTTATCACTTTCAATCCAGTACTTAGATGACGGTACCATCAAATAAAATAAACTTGCACCGACACATATAAACTAGTTTGGAATTCCTGTTAAGAAGTTCCTGTAGGTTTTGGAATAGTGGGTGAGTAGCTTTCGGGTGCTTTACAAAGTGCTGTAGTGTAGACACTGTCTCTGTGGCTGGGAGAGCGTGGTTGGCATGTTGGGAACTGGCCTGATGTCCCTGCATTCCAGTGACATGCGTTTGAACTGTCAGTTTAATGAGATCTTTTCCTTTGGGGAGTAGGGTAGTCCTTTCAGAGATCCTAAGAACATGAAAGAAAGAAAAGAAGAACAAGAGAAGACAAGGCTGAACTGACAAGGAGCTAGAGTCGTGTGTAAAGCCGATTTGCACATGAAGCTTAGTTGCTGGTCACATGTTCTTCCTTTTACTCTGTTTGCTAGGACGTGAGCAGTGGAAGGTGGCCACAGGCCGACAAACTCTGCTTGATGAGCCATAACTGACCCCCCTTCCAGCTGCTTTTCCGTGGCCTTGAACTAAGAAAGTTTTTTACATTTTTAAATAGCTGAAAATCCACAAAAAATATCAGTTTTTGATGGGTGTTACATGCAATTAAAGTTTCCGTGTCTACAACTCAAGTCTTACTGAAGTCTAGCCATGCTCCTCTCTCCAGGTGCCAGCATGCAGTCCAGCAGCTACAACAGATCATGGAGGGGCAGGGCCTGAAGTACTTACTCTCCGGCTCCTCATAGACCAGGCGTTTGCTGATCCCTGATCTTAGAATTGTGGAGCCGGATCTACCTGTAGTTTTCATTCTTAGTGTTGTCTCCCGTGGAAGTAACTTTCTTTTACATGGTAACCTTGGCATTTCATCGTCACTGGTGGCGCTTGCCTGGAGATGAAGTTCAGCGGCAGAATGCTTGTGTAGCAGTGGGAGGTGCCCTGGGTTTGATCCCTGGCATCATCAAAAAACAGTCCGAGCCCCATCAAATCAAGGCAAGCAGAAACAGCAGCACAGCCATCCAGATGTGTGTCCGAAACTGTTGCAGGGAATTTGACTGCGGGCCTCATCCTGTAGGATCAGCGGCTTGGTGAGTGGGTTTGGGACGTGGATGTCCCTGAGGTCCCCCGAGGAGCCTGACCTTCGTACTGAATGTCACACAGGAAAGCAGTGAGATCCAACGGTTGGAGACAGAGACACCAAACTACAAGCACTGCACGTGCTCGCAGTGGCACAGCAGCGTCTCCTCAGAGTGCGGGGACAGCGGCGGGAAACATTCCTGCTGTCACACCACAGCCTCGCATGCTAGGAAGCACACGCAGCACCCTGCTGAGCCACCACGCCACGCAAGGGAAGGCGATGTGAGAGGTGGAGCTGAGCTGAGGGGCTGCTTGTTCACAGGAGGCCATTTTGCTTGAATCAGTGGCAGAGAGTTGACATCACACCTGTGTGTTTGGTATTTTTTCCCCTTGAAATGAAATGAACTAACTCTTCAAGGAGAACAGCTCATGGGATCTGTTGTCAATGAAACAGCGTTTTCTTCCCCAAGTTGGCACTTTTGTGTCACTTTGAATTCGTCAGGTTTCCAATGTGATTTTTACACCATAATAATGGAATAGGAGGTTGATATTTGGAAGATCTGTGATACTCAGGGAACTGACATTTTAAAAATAATGGATGTGTTTGGCTGTAAACAGCATGGATAAAGATTATTCAAGGCAGACCAATTGATTTAAGTGTAGTGAACCCTACAAATTTTATCCTTTGGATTTTATTTCACATTGCAGCTAGTTTTAAGAGAGTAGCTCTGTGGCATTTTGATGTCATGTAGAAAAGCAGTAATTTGACAAGGTGGCTCAGCAGGTAAGCGTGTGCTGCCAAGCATGACGACCTGAGTTTGGTCCCCGGTTCCACATGGTGGAAGGAAAGCACCGACGCTACAGTGTTGTCCTCTGACCTCGTATAACCACTATGCTTTTTAATAAAAGAAAATAGTAATAAAAGTAATAATAAAAAAGTAGTAATACAAAGGAAAACAGTAATCACAATTATCTTACAACGCTTTTCCTTTTATTGACATCTTCCAACCACAGGGGTGTGAAAACAGTTTGTAGAGTCATGTGTCAGAATGCCTTATGTTCTCTTCAGCCAGATGTCAAGACTTGGAAAATATCAAAGATTGCTATTCTCCCAATAACTAATTTTTTTTTTTTTGTTTTTATAGAATACCTTAATGTGTAATAGTTTTAATTTATAAGATTTATTTATTGTTTATTATTTGACTTTTATTGATTCTTTGTGAATTTCACATCAAGCACCCCAATCTTATTCATCGCCCTGTCCCGTCATACCTTTGATGTCTCTTGTAACACCCCCAACGAGGGGGGGGGGACACTCGCTGTGTAAGCTTAGTGTGTCACTGTGTGTCCCACAGTGTACTGTTTTAGCCATACTCCTCTGCTGGCAAATGTTCATTGCAGTGAAGTCATTGGTCTGGTTCGAGGCCTCTGGCTTATGCTATATCATCAGAACTGGATCCTCACTGGAACTTCTCTTGGAGCTCCTGTTGTCCTGTGTCACGGAGATCTCTCAGCTTTGGATCTGCAGGATCGGCCCCTTCTCATGTCCCAGCAGTTTATCAATGGAGTAGATATTGGAGTAGGCCAACTCAAAGCCCTAGATCTGGGCCTGGGTGGTGGCTGCCTGTTAGCTCTCCCATACCCATACCACCAGGATGGGGTCTCCAGCATTGCCCTGTCCAGCTAGTTCATCCAATGCCACAACTGGCAAGAGTCAGAGCTAGTTCTTCTGCTCAACCTCTGCAAGCAGGTCCAGCTTTACTGTGGTGCCCAGCTGAAGTACAGGACCCGTTCTCCCAAGTGCTGTAGCAGGTGAGGGGCAGGACCAGCTCTCCTCTCATGACATTAGGGCTAGCTTCCCCACATGCCATAGGTGGCAAGTCGTGGAGAGCCACCTATCCCTCACCCACACTACTGCATAGCATACAGGTGGTGGGGCCAGCTCTCCCATGACGACACCCTTGGAACTGGCTTGCCTGTTCCCCTCTGTGTTGCCCTCCCAGCTACCAGGGTCAGCTCTATTGTGCTGTCCAGGGGAGGTACAGGGCTTGCTCTGCTGAGTGCTGCAGTCAGTGAATTACAGGGCCATCTCTCCCACTTGCTGCATATAGTGAGGGGCAAGAGAGGGGACGACATTTCTCTTTTGCTCACGCCACCACATGGCAGACGAGTGGTAGGGACAGCTTTCATACCCTCAGGGTGGCTCTCCTGAACTCCTGCAATAAAGGCCAGCTCTACTGTGCTTCCTGGGTGAGGTTCAGGCCCTATTCTACTGAGTACTACAGCTGATGGCAATGATGGGTAGGGCCAGCTCTCCTGCTCTCTCTTCCACAAGTGCTCAGGTGAGTGGTGGGGCCAGCTCTGCACAGCTCTCAGACATCAATATGGCCCTAGATGGCAGCCCAGGCCAGGGATGTCCCCCTGACTTTTGGTGGTAATAGATCGTTGCTGTTGCAGGGCCACAGACTCAGACATGGCCCTCAGTGGCATCATGAGCCAGGACCTAACCATGGCCTTAGGTTGTATTGTGGTTACTTACATCAGGCTCCTTACTACACTTGAGTCTCCAGCTCTACCTTTCTTTATTGTGCACATATCATTCTATTTCTCTTTCTTTTCCATTTCTCCACCACTAAATTGCTCATCTTAGTGGTGCACGGGGCCTCTGGGTGTCTGGGGTTGGTTGTCTCAGGAGTGGTTTCAGTTTTATGCCCCACCCATGTCATGTGTCACTGGACAGGGGTCATCTTGGGCATTGTTTGCCTGTCTGGGCCTGCATGGCATCAGGGAGGGATTGTCTCAGGTTTGCTCTGAGCCCAGGCTCAATGGTGCTGGACTGGGGGGTCATCTCAGGGGTGCTCCCTGCCCAGGCCACAGGGTACCAGACTCTAAAAAACTTACTATAGACAGATGACCATGAGTTATAGACAGATGGCCATGAGTTACAGACAGATGTTACAGACAGATGGCCATGAGTTACAGACAAATGTTACAGACAGATGTTCATGAGTTACAGATAGATGTTACAGACAGGTGGTCATGAGTTACAGACAGATGTTATAGACAGATGTTCATGAGTTATAGACAGACGTTACAGACAGGTGGTCATGAGTTACAGACAGATGTTACAGACAGATGGTCATGAGTTATAGACAGATGTTACAGACAGAT